ACTAATTTAGGATGTTATCTTTTGGACTAAAATTTTACTGGTCTGGTCTGGTCTGGTCTGAACTGGTCTGATCTGGTCTGGTAAACGTCTGGTCTTTGTGTATTTTATGTTACGATTAGGCAAAGATAAACGATAAATTAAGAGCAAGAACACAAGAATTTACGTGGTTCACACAATCGGGTTGATTGTGCTAGTCCACGGCGAACGAGAGAGAGGATGTATTATTATCAGCGTCCCAAGGGGTTTACAAGTACATAAGAGCCGTTTAAATAGGTTTAAGAAAACCTAAACTGAGATTAGAGCCGCAGGCCCTGATTAAAATTAAGCCCGTAATTAAAAAATCCCGTAGACCCGGTCGGGTGCCCCCCTTGACCCGGTCGGGTCTCTTCACAAATTTCATGCCCGGGCTGATACCAGGGCGGGTATCCAAAACAGAAAGTGAAACCTTCGCTGACCCGGTCGGGTCCGTCTCCTGACCCGGTCGGGTCTCACGTTCCAGTGAGTTCCCAGGTCTCTGCTTCAACATACCCGGTCGGGTGACATAATATACCCGGTCGGGTAACTCCTTTAAAGTTCAGAACAAGACTCCATCTTCAACATTTTATAACTACGGAAGTCAAGTCTGGTCTGGTCTGATCTAGTCTGGTCTGGTCTGATCTAGGACTGATATAAGATTCACGTAATCATAAACTAATACTCCCTCCGTCCCTATTTGGTTAGCCATATTTCCTTATTTGGCTGCTCCAAAATACTTGGTCACTTTTCCTTTTTGGTAGTAAATAAAGTGCAATGACACATTTAACCTTATGAGATAATCACCCGTTTTGAATAATCCTTATACATTCACCCTTCATGGTTTCATCCATTATCCATTCCTTTCTCTTGCTGTTAGACACAACCTATCTTTCTTTCTTTTACCATCTCTCATGCATCCTTTCTCTATCCTTTGAAAACCCTACCACCATGAAATCCGAGGACGGGTTCTTTAAGTCAGTTATGTTTGTATTTGGGAGAAGGGCCAAAATGGACACTAAGGTTTTTAATGAAGATCATATATGACATTCAGGTTTTAAGTGGACCAATTAGACACAATTATAACCTTATACCTTAATTTCTACCCACCCACTAACTCCCTTGTCAAACGGCCGTTACCTTGGCTTATACACCCCCTTTCCCTGCGCTAAAACATCGAACGAGCATTTACAACCCTAAATCGATTTTCATGGACTCTAAGCAACCTCGGCTGAGAAGATTAGAAGTGATGGACTGTAAGCAACCATTTACACTGTAAGGTACTCCGTTCGTTCGTCTTGCTTGTACTGTAAAAATGAGTGGGTTGGTCAACCTGAGGTTTAACCATAGTGGGAGGTGGGTGTTCAAGCCTTTACAGTATGTGAATGGGGACGTGGATACAATCTATGGATTCGACCCTGATTATTTGTGTTATCATGACATATCAAGGAAATACAAAGATGATTTGGGTTTTAAAACTCTTAAAAATATTTATGTCTTAGAACCTGGAAAGGATATGGATAATGGCCTATTCTTAGTTCAAGATGATGACACAATAAGGAAGGTGTTAAATCGTATTAGAAGATACTCTTGGGTTGATGATATTGAATTGTATGCTGATCATCAACTAGATGAACCTCTTCTAATTCCCCTAATTGAAGGCTGTAATGTCCCAGAGCAAAGTGTAGAAACTGGGGATGGGGCTGGTTCTGAAACTGCTAATGAAGATCTTACAGACCAACCTGAAGTTCACACTGGAGGTGTACCAAATGGTTATGAAACAGATGAGCATTCTAATGAAGAGCAAGAAGAGGATGAGGATGAAGATAACAACAAATCTGATGTGTCCTCAGATGAAGAACCAAGAGAGGGTTATGCTGTAAATGATGGATCAGGTACGTTCATGAATGGAATGACATTTGAAGATGTTAAAGAGGCCCGAACAGCAATTGCTAATTATGGAGTCAAATATGGGTATAAGTTGAAAATAAAACCAAATGAAAAGACCCGTTTGGCAGTGAGATGTCTGAATGAGGAGGGTTGTCCTTTTAGGTTGTGGATATCTAAAGATGGGAAGAACTGTGGGCTGGCGGTCAAGGTTTGTAATCCGGAGCACAAGTGCTTTAGGCACTTTTCTATTCCTAGTGCCAGCCAGAAATGGTTAGCTAATTATTTCAAACCCCACCTGCAAAGAAATCCAAGCTTTAGGGTTGCTGATATGAAGGAGGAGGCTGAAAAAAAATTGAAGATAAATGTCAGCCTGTACAAATGTAAAAGAGCAAAGAGGCTGATAATCCAAGAGATGGATGGGAGCTATAAAGCTGAGTTTGGATATCTAGAAGCCTATGCTGCATGTTTAAAGAAAAGCAATCCAGGTTCCAAAGCAGAAATTGAGTTATGTAGTGCTGCCTTGAAAGAAGGAAAGAGGGTGTTTAAAAGGATGTTCATTTGTTTTGGTGCTTTGAGGCAAAATTGGCTAGCTGGTTGCAGAAGGATCATAGGTGTTGATGGTTGCTTTTTAAAGGGTGTGTGTAAGGGGATATTGCTGAGTGCAGTAGGGGTGGATGGGGAAGGACAAATGGTTCCTATAGCATGGGCTGTAACTGACAAAGAGAACAAGTCCAACTGGAGGTGGTTTCTAACTTGGTTAGTTCAGGAACTTGATCTGAAGACTGGTGCTGATTTAACTCTAATATCTGATATGCAAAAGGGGTTAATAATTGCAGCTCAAGATGTGATACCTGAGGCAGAACATAGGTATTGTGCTCGCCATGTTTATGCTAATTGGTCTAAGAAGTGGAGAGGTGACCAGTTCTGCAAAAGATTCTGGATTTGTGCATGGAGCACATATGAAGAGGAGCTGCAGATGAACTTGAAAAGGCTAGGAAAACTAAGTGTTGAAGCTGCATCTGATGTTTTGAAATACCCAATTCAGACATGGTGTAGGGCATACTTTAGTAGCCACAACAAATGTTGGATGGTAGATAACAACATAACTGAGTCATTTAATGCATGGATTAGAGAAGCTAGGGCAAAACCAATTGTCAGCATGCTTGAAGATATTCGTTTGAAGGCTATGAAAAGGCTTTGTGATTTTAAAGGCAGTCATGAAAAGTGGATTAATCAGTGGTCACCCTCATGCATGGAGTACTATCAAGGTAATAAAGAGGCAGCTACAGGGTGCAATATAATCTTCAATGGAGATGTTGGGTTTGAAATTGGAGAAGGGGATGATAAACACACTGTTGTGTTAGACCAAATGAGGTGCACTTGCAGAGCATGGGAATTGACTGGCATTCCTTGCTTACATGCCTTATGTGCTTTGTACTATAAGAAGGTAGATGCCATATCATACATATCTAGGTGGTACCATAAGGACACATACATGGCAGCTTATCAGTACCCAATGCAACCTGTTCCTGGAAAGGCTTTCATGAAAGTGGATGACTATGAACCAATTCTACCTCCCCCAGTTCCCAACTTACCCGGAAGACCAAAGAAGAACAGAGTAAGAGGGTTAAATGAGGGCAAAGCAACTGCAAGTAGTTCCAAAGTTGTGGCAGGTGATAGTACTTCATCTCACAGAGCTTCAAGAAAAGGACAAGTTCAAACCTGTGGCATCTGTCATTTGGAGGGACATAAGAGATCTAAATGTCCTAATAAAGATAGTGCTGTAAGTTTTAAAGTTGTTAATATATGGACTGATATAAGAGATCTTTCAAGCTTCAGGTCTAATATATTTTGCTTTGGTCAGATTTCAGTTTTATACAACTTATATTAGTGGACTGATTTCAGTTTTATATAAGTTATATCAGTGTATTGATATAACTTTTATAGTAGTTATATGGGATCCCTAGTTATATTAGTGAACTGATATAAGTTTTATAATTGGTCTAATATAGTGGACTGATATATCTAGTGTTTTTTATATATAAGAAGTTTAAATTAGCTGACACTACAATGCGTTTGTGGACTAATTTCACTTTTATAGAAGTGATGTAAGTGGACTGACATATTATTTTTACTTGTAGTATTTGTGGTATACTTCATATGAAGACTGTTATATATATTATTTGTTTGGTGAAGATGTATTTGGGTAAGTAATATGGTATTATAAGCAATGTTCTAAAAGGCGTAAGGCGTGCCGAGGCGGCACGTCCAAGCCTTAAGCCTTTGGAGCCTAGGCGGGCTTAGGCGGGGATGAGGCGTGAAAAGGCGTTTTGATTTTTTATCATTTATTTTAAATATTTTAATTAAATATTAAATAATATTATTCAAAAACATCATATTTTTCGCATTCTCAACAAAAAAAGATTCTTTGAATCCTACGTCTAACAAATACGGAGTACAAATTTACGAATCACACAAAACTAGAGCTGAAAAAATAGTCCAATTAATGACAATGGTGAGAACGTTGATAATGATAACAATTAAATACAACAACAACAAGTATAACAATGGAGTAATAATAACAACATTAATTTCAACAACAATAATACTAATAGTGTCCTTTAAAAAATACTAACAGAAAGTATAATAATAATAATAATAATAATAATAATAATAATAATAATAATAATAATAATAATAATAATAATAATAATAATAATAATAATAATAATAATAATAATAATAGAAAGTATACAGAATTCCAACAATAGTACTAACAGTGATAATAATAATAATAATCATAATAAAGATACGAGTAATATAATAATAGGAATAGAAAGTAAGATATGCTTGACTTGTTTAGCATATTTCGTATAAGGTATAATTAAATTAAATGTGAAATTAGACACAATGAAGTTGCAGATCAGTTGGTTAGATGATTTCATTAGTCCCAAGCCCCACCCATGTTCGAATCCCTCTTAGAACTTGATTTTTTAGCAATACAAAATGCGGAGTACAGGAGTATAGATTTTCTTTTCAGGCTTCAGCTTTCCAATTCCACAATCCCACACCGGAGGGATAGAGGCGCTCCACTCTTCCCAAACTCTATATACAAAGTATTTCTTATCTCCCTTCCTCAATGAATAAATCGCCTCCAGCGGTAAATGGATCATGAGATGAGCTTGATCCGCCTTTATCCGCGCCTTGTGGGTAGGCGAGGCGTTTGGGCCGCGCCTCACGCTTAGGCCCGCTTTTGCGGCGCCTTTTGAGGCCTTTTAGAGCACTGGTTATAAGTAATATGGTATTATATTGCTTCAGGCAAGTAATGAAGCAACAGATCTTGGTAGACCTGCAAGTGTGAAGAGGCCCGCAAGTGTGGCTTTCTCTCAAATTACCAACACTACAGAAATGAACCCACCTGCAAGTGAAAGGGAAAATATTGATAGGAGTAAGTCTAAACTTCCATGTAGAAGAACAGGCAGCTCAAAAGGTAACCAACCAGTCTCAGGTTTTGGATGCTATGTTGATGTAAACACTGGTGCAAAGATTGTAAATGTGAGTTTAATATCCTCATAAAGAGTATTGGTTGTTGTTGTAATTTTTGTTTATTTACCTTGATATTCATTTCATCAATAATGAATGCAGCCCGGGATGACTAGTGAGCAAGTAGTTTGTCAAATGCAGCCTCCACTCGGACATGACCCTGATGTTAGTGTGAGATTTGCTATTCCAAATGAGAGGGAAATTCGAGCTACAGGCAGGGTTGTTGATAAGCAGGTTGATGTCCCAGCATATAGGACCATTTCTTTCAAGGGTGATGGAGCCAATGTTATAAATCCAACCAACTTGCCCTTTCAGCCACCCGGTTTGCAATGGAATGGGAAGAAAGCTGTCACCGCACGCCATTTGTTAAAGAAGTTGCAGAAGAAGAAGGGTTCATCTTCCCAGACTACATGATATTTATTAAAGATGCAAAGAAGGAGATGTTTTGTAATTAATCATTTTTTGGAACATATAAATGCTGGCCTGTTTTTTTGCTATAGTAGTAGGTGGCAGCATTAAGTTAGGGGTTGTACATTACCATGTTACTGTCAACTATTGTACTTGTGTCAACATGACCAAGTCATATGCTTTTTTGGAAGGGAGAAGAGCCAAAAATTTTGATCAGTTGATCTTTGTTATATCAGGATCATGTTACTGTTATTTTTGGGCCTTCTCCCTTTTTGGAATGTTAAACTATGTAATGTATTATGATTTCCTTATTCCTATTTAATGATGATCACTTATTATCAGTTTTGTGGAATGGATTCATAGTAAATAGGTTCAAGTTTATTAGTTCAAACTGAATAAACTTGAACCATCAGTTCACTTATTATAGGTTCAATATCACTTCAAACTTCAAAGTAAATAGGTTCAAAGTTACCAGTTTTCAGTTTTTGTTTCAAAGCTCAAACTCAGTAAAGTGCATCTTCTTCATAGTTGTAAGTATTTTGTTCTAACTGATTTGGTTTAAACTTCAGGAATTCAAAGTCATTATGCTTCAAATGCTGTAATCCAGATTCTATAATAGTGAATAGAATCATTCAAACTTTTTAACTGCCAAACACTTCAATCATAACAAAGGTTAACATTACAATCATACCAATGTCATTCTGGTATTACAAACATTGAACAACAACTACCAAAACATCCTACATAATACAACACCAAGGGCACAAAAGAACACTACGCACACATAATGTCTATTTACATATGCCCCCCTCTCCACTTTTAACTGATCCACACATTCAACTTCACTCTCCATGTTTTCATTGCAGGTATCTACACATGCCAGTACTGGTGCTTCATCAAAACTCCCCCCTTGCACGGATGACCTCCTCCAGCCCCCTAATTGTAGTGTGTAGCCTTCTATTCTCCCTTTTTAAGTCATTGATAACATCTTTCACCCTATCTGTTAAAGGCTCATCATGCCACTCAAAGAACCCGCAACCATTATTCTGCATACACCACCACAATGTATATAAATCAAATGTTGTAAATCACACAAAAATCAAAATTTAAACTTGAGGCTTACTTCATAATAGGGACAACCATAGAACCTTCTTCCGGGATTGTTGTCAGTCCAAGATGTCCAAAGTGGCGCTTTTACAGGGCTTCCATTTGCGTGTCTACATTTACAATACCTCGTCCATCCAGAAATTTGTCGCTCCATACTCCCACGACACTTCACTGATTCTACAGAGTTGGATTTCTTCTTCTCTAACATCCTTGATGCTGACGAACTCTCACCCATTGTTATTCTTTTTCCTCCTTCTACGTAAATGGACTGAATCAACGCCCTTTAATAGGTAGGTCAAAATGAATTGGGGTTGTTCGATGCATTTATGGGAGTGGGTTGTATTTATTGGGGCCGGTGAGGTTGTAGCGCAGGGGAGGCTCTTGTTCGATGTTTTAGCGCAGGAGAAAGGGGGTGACGGCCGTTTGACAGGGGAGTTAGTGGGTGGGTAGAAATTAAGGTATAAGGTTATAATTGTGTCTAATTGGTCCACTTAAAACCTGAATGTCATATATGATCTTCATTAAAAACCTTAGTGTCCATTTTGGCCCTTCTCCCTTTGTATTTCAATTAAAGGTCTCTTTGTGCTCTGATTTTTGTTTTGTTTTATTCATTGGGTTCTTCCTGCTTGTGTTAATTTAATGCCTTTGTATTTCGTTCCCCTCTGGTTTGTGTTCTCTATGTGTTTGGTTGCCTTTAATTTTACTCCAAATGGCATGTACTTTCTTTCGGGTGTCTCAATTCCGTCATTTTACTTGAAGGGCAAATTTTTCCGGTCAACTATATATTCTCCTTTTCATTAAAGAGTGATTTCAAATGATAACTTCTACTTAAAAAAGTATTTCTCGGCTTTCGTATGAAAAATGTTTTTACTTTTTCTATTACACAAAAATAACTTATTTTACCAAACACTACCAACTTTTACTTTTCAAAATCACTTTTTCTCAAACGCTATCAACTTCTACTACTAATCACTTTTTCCAAAATCACTTCCAAAAGTGTTTTTTAAGCAGAAGCAGTTGCAAACAATCTCTGCCCGTCAACATTTGCTAAATAAATGAGGTCAGAGGAAGTATATATTAAGATAAACTCCAACTGTCCTAGTGAAGCTTGTAATTATAATGTTTTTTTTTGTTTTTTTATTTATTTATTTTTTTACCCCATGGGGCATCAAGGGGAGGGGGGTTTGGGGGGCCTGGGGAAAACTGAGATCAATTTCACTCCATTGAGAATTGAACCCGGGACCTCCCATAAGGGAGAGTGAGTCGGCGACCAGCTGGGCTAGACCGCTTGTAATTATGAGTGAAGGGTCAGTTTGGTCCTCGAAGTTGCAAAAAAGGGGTCAAATAAGTCCTTATATAGAAGATTCTGTCCGGACGTGCCATTTGAGGTGGCTCCCGGTAGAATTTTTTGATGAAATTTTTTGAGCATCTTATTCATTAAGTCTAGTTTACTCATACCAAATTTCAGTTAAAAATTCAATCGGAGAGACATTCAAATGAATTCTTGAAGATAACTGCGCTTTTAACGACACAGTTATCTTCAAGAATTCATTTGAATGTCTTCCCGATTGAATTTTTATCTGAAATTTGGTATGAGTAAACTAGACTTAATGATTAAGATGCTCAAAAAATTTAATAAAAAAATACCATCGGGAGCCACCTCAAATGGCACGTCCGGACAGAATTTTCTATATAAGGACTTATTTGACCCTTTTTTGCAACTTCGAGGACCAAACTGACTCTTATCCCTTGTAATTATGATGTTTATGATTAAGCGTCGCATACTAAAGTACATCACCAATGGCCCCAAAGTCTAATTATACAACGGCCGTCTAATTCACATTTCAGCTTTGTACATACAAAAATTTAATTTACAATTTGATCTTTTTTTAGACATGAGGAAATCGGACAGATAGGAATGATAGTCCCCTGGAATTCATCCAAAATCTATAAAAGAACTGTGAATCTACAAAATTGGCTTGGTCAGGCAAACTGTGAATCCAAAAGGCCAAGTTCTTACTCCTGTCCTCCCATAAAAAGGTTCCAATTTGCCTTGACACTCTGATTAAGAACATTGAAATTGCGGTGTTAAGAATTATATATAGAGAGTAGAGAGAACTAATATGAACATTTTCTTTTCTTAAAATGAATACAAAAGAAACCTGATTTTGGATCGGCAGAAAAGGAAAGAGAATCCTTTATCAGCACGCAGGGAATATGTCGACCTTGGTTTCTGGAGGCAGATTTCATGACCCTGGTTTCTGCCACCCCAGCCCTTCCAAGAAATCCTCAATCAACCTAACAAGCGGAGCAAAACAGTAAACAACAAGTAATCTAATTCCACAGCTATGATGGACGTAAAAGAGCCTCTGGCTTCTACTTACAAGCTGCATATAGCCTTCTGTGATGCAGCCAGCTCACGGTCTGGAAAGCTCTCTTCCAGCCGAAAACTTAACCAAACATAGAGATCCAAAACCTTCAACAATTAAGAAGTTGAGTTAGCATCTGATTCCGATTCAAGTGAGAAAAAAGAATTATGCATCTAGTGTGTGTCTATATATACACATACATATACGTAGAGATTGAGTTCCAATGAAAAGAAGATTTCCCATGAAAAAAGAATAATATATAGACTTTTCAATGCATAAAATGAATGGATGAGATCAATTATTCATCAAAAACGCGGTCATAATATTGTAAATATTTCAAATTTTAATATGCAACGTTTTATGATATAGAGTATTTCAAGCGTACAAAGAAGTGCTTGACAAGTGTTTTTTTATATCAATTCTCAATGTTATATGCATTTTATTTTGTATGGTAACGCACTTGTAGAATGTTCAATGCAAATTTTGTATACATTGTTTCACTTTTATTAGCATATATTAATAAAAAGTTCAAATTTACAGTAATACTACCGCGTTTTAGTCTTAAATATTGATCTGATCTTTAAATTTTTCCCACAAATGTTAAAAAATAGTTCTTACTTTTCAAAATTAATCGAACCAAATATTTTATATACATATACATGTATGTGCTTGCGAATGCATGTGTGTGTATGCGTGTAATGTATTATGTATATGTGTCTACACATTGTATACCTATTTATTTAGGGTATTTTTTTTAAATACCTCGGAAAGGATTAGGGTCATCTTCTGCACTTCCCAAAATAGTAGTATTGATTAATTCTAACCTTGTGAATTGATTCCAGCTCTTTAAGTGCACCCTGTGTCTTAGGCACCTGAAGCGTCCCAGGAGTAAATATTTCCCGGAGTCTAACAATGCCCTTCTTTGCATAATTTGTTGCAAACTGACCACTCCAAAAGATGGTTACATGTGGTTAGTAATCTTTTCTGGCACACATTGTTTTGCACAAAAATGAAATAAATATTTACGAAATAATAATATATGATAGTATGAAGCACTGGAACTCCCCGCGACTCACATTTCCCCGTCTCAAAAACTCAGAAGCATCCAGGAAAGTCGAAAACGTCAAATTCCCATTTCAGAGCCGTTTCCATAATTAAGATGATTTGGGAAACCTGTTTCCCTAAATGATTACCATTTCAAAAACTTTTGGGTTTCCAATTTTTTTCTTTTTGATGGAATTACTTAATGGAAAACAGTTCCTTTTTGAAACCTTTTATGAGATATTTTCCTGGCAAACATTATAATATTTCTTAATGCAATGCATTGCCAGAAATACATAGCATTTTATGTTTAATCATCTATTTTATTACTCCCTCCGTCCCACTATAATTGTGTCATTTTTCCATTTCCGTCCATCTCACTAAATTTGTCTCATACCATATTTGGTAATATTTGTGTGGCTTTAATTCATTCTAACTTTATTCTCACTTTATCAATTTATTATCAACCACATAACTTTACTTTTCTTAAAAACCACACCTCTCATTTGACCCAATCTTAGGGGGACAGAGGTAGTAATATGTAACAACTTATAAATTTGAAGATGTAGAATGTATTGATTATTGGTTAAGAAACAGAGTTATATGAAAAAAATATGGGCATAAATGAAAAAATGTACACATACGAATTTTTTTTACAAATATGTCCTTATGTTTTTTTTTTTTT